TCTTGATAAAAGAAATTAAGGGAAATAACTGGGGAAGATGACAAGAAAATAAAAAGAGTATACTGGAATAGATGTAAAAGGAACTGAAGCTGAAAATTCTATGTTATTTTACTGCATTTTGGACTACAATTTATAAGAGAAATACTAACTTAAAAGACCTAAAAATCAACAAAAAATCTGCTGAAAATAACTAACTCTTAGAGACTAGTTCACTCCTAAAGACTAGTTCAAAATTATTTCAAATTCAAACTAAATTACTGCAGTAAATAACTCTTAAGCTGAAACAGTAAAATAATTTTACTGAGAGCAGCTTCTAAAGCATATTTCTAACAATATTGCGTTAATCCTAAAGTCCATAAAAATGAACAAGAGGAATAACCTAAGAAGGAGTGGATAATGGAGAGTTTGAGGTATATTGGAGAAATAAGATGTGTTCACCTCATTAATATATATCACCATCATCAAAGTGACTGTTGGTGTACAAGCATAGCAATTGATGCAGTCTCAAGAAGAACGTCGATCTCTATGCTTAATTCAAAGTTAGACATGGAGTTGGCTAAGTTTCATGAAGTTCCAACATCAATAACTTCATATCATAAGTTGAAGTTTGAGAGTCAACATAGAAAGATTACATGGAAAGACTTGGTAGAAAGTTGAAACTTAGAAAGTGGGATTTAGTTTGACCACATGCTAAGTTTTTATAATAAACTAGCAAAATGTAATTTAAAACCTGGTGAACATTGGGTCTCCATTCTTACTATAGCAAATTTTGTGCCATCTATAAAAGCTGTTAGACTCGAGGACGAGTCTTTTTCAACCAGAGGAGAATGATGCAAGATCAAGAATGCTAAAAATCCAAGAAATTCAAGAAGCGAAGAATCCTACCAAGATTAGGATTTCTTTTCCTTAAAGATTAGGATTTGTTATTTCTTGTTTCCTAGTAATTTAATTCTTGTTTTAGTAGGATTATATTTGTAGTTCTAGTCAAACTAGGATTGTTAGTTGGTAGCCCATTCTTACTAGAATTCTTTTTCATATTTTAGTTAGGATATGCTTTCTTAGCGTTATTTTTATTCTAGTTTAATTAGGATTAGTTTTCCTTAACCTTATCAATTTTACTCATTGTAAGGCCTATTTAAAGGGCTCAATATGTTGAAAATAAAGGTTGGTGATTAGTTTTTCTAAGCTATTGCTTCAAAAACGTGATTTACTTTTTATTTCATTGTTCTTCCTTTATTCAACGCTTCTTGCAATCTTACGGGATTGGGGAACGTGTGGGTGAGGTTTCTTCCCATCTTACATTCTTCCAATGTGAGTTTGAAGAACGCTTTCGCTAGTTTTGTGAAAAACTTTAGCGGGGTGCTTTTGTTTTTCTCTCTTCTTTGTACTTGAGAGGTGCAAAACCTTGAAAGTACATCAACGACTCCCATTATCAATTATCATAGAACAAATTTTATCTTTAATCCCACACCGAGTATGAAATATGTTTTCCCTTTGTTCTTCATTAGAGTCCCCCAAATTAATGTGCATAAGCGTCCTAACCACAAAATTCACCCCGCTATCAATGTACTCCATCTCTTTCTTCACTCTCTACAAAGTTTTCTTCTTGTTCTTCACTTGGTTCACTTTTTTCACTCTCATTTCCCCCATCCTCTTTGATTAGAATGTTTTTTCTACTTGGGCATTGAAAAGCCTTATGCCCTCTCCCTTGACACTTGAGACATTGAATAGAAGAAGTAGAAGTTTTAGGCATAACAAGCTTACCCCATCCTTGTATTCCAATTTGCTCCTGCCCTTGTCTTCACGGAATTTAAGAGTAGGTGTCTCCTCATATTTCGGCCATTGCTTCTTTGGAATAATAGTTGGTCGGCTTTTCCATGAGCTAGATTGCTGTCTCCTTTTGTTTTGTCTTTCTACCTTTATAGCTAATTCAACTAACTCATCTAAAGTTACATATTGTTGTAATTCGACTACATCAGCTGTTTCCTAATTTAAACCATTCAAATAGTCTCCTCTTCCTCTACACAATTAGCTTGGATCATAGCCATATCCATTGCCTTAAAGTATTCATCTACAGACATTGACCCTTGCCTCAAAGTTTGAAGACGTTGTTGTAGATCTCTTTGAAAGTGTGATGACACAAATCTCTTCCTCATTACCCTCTTCATCTCAGCCCACGTAGTAACGAGTGCTTGTCCTTCTTGCAATCTGTCCCTAGAAAGCTTTTTCCACCAGATTGCTGCATAGTCAGAAAACTCAACAGCAGCAAGTTTAACCTTCTTACCCTTCGAATAGTTGTGGTAGTCAATGATGGCTTCCACTTTTCTCTCCCAATCAAGATACAAGTCTAGATCCCTTGTTCCCTTAAAAGATGGTATCAGAGCCCAAGTTCAGCGGGACGATCATGGAGATGGCGGAGTGATGGTGCGGGGCGGCACGCACACAAGAAGCTAGTTGCGGGCTTCTGTTGCCATAATATTCTAACAATGAGGGTGACACACAGTAATCTCGAAAAATGACTTGTGGATCATGGTAGTGGGCCACGTGGAACTTAGTTCGATGGGGAGATTGTTGGGTGTGTGAACAAAGTCCCACATTGGTAGCTGAAAAGATTGGGAGTCTACATATAAGGTGTAGGGATCTCTTAATGGTGTGAGGCCTTTTGTGGAAAACCGTGCGGGCTTGGCCTAAAACGGACAATTTCACACCATATTAAGAGTGTATTTGGGCTAGTTTAGCCCAACAACCATCTTCTAGTCTTCCTCTTTGTCCCCTTCTTCCTACCCTATCAAAATCAATATCATCGATAGAGTTTTCATGATTTACAATGGGAGCGGGTACATTTCTCCTAGCTTGGGGTCTAGCGTTATGTCCCCTCCTAAGTTCAGTTATTGTAATATTTTGCTCAGCAATGGTGGCCCTCATCTCTTGGAATTGCAAATTCCACCTTTCAAATTGTTGGTTCATAGCTTGCAAGGTGAAACCATTCATTCCTTTAATTTCGGCTTCTTGAAGAACCCTTTGTTCATCATCACTACCTGTACGAGACATTATACAACAAAGCAATATATATCTCTCAATTTGGCTTTTCCTTCTGATGTTCTCACCTCTCTTGCCTTTTTTCACTTAATGCAACTCTTGGTCGTTAATCTTTAGATTTATCAATAAATCTTACTAGTCACAACCCTTAGTGATAAAGAATATGGAATTAGAAAAAGAAAGAAAAGTGAATGATCAAACCTAGGAATAATAGGAATTGGTTAGTAGCAGTGTTCAAAAAAGCGCTCGCTTTCTCGCTTTAAGTGAGAAGCGAAGCGAAGCGTAGGGTCAGGCGCTTCCAGTACCAAAAGCGACGCAGGTACTGAAAAGCGATCGCTACTACCTAAAAAAAAGCGGAAGAAGCGGTCGCTTCTTGAAATAAAAGCCCAACCGTGTCTTTTTCAATTAAAAGACCCAAAATCCAGTTCTGTTTTTGTCATTCTTCAGCAGCAACGTGAACTAGGGTTTTGAAGCAGCCCTTTCTTCTTCAAAAAACCAACAAGTCTTTCTTCTTTTTCTTCAACATTACAACAAACTATCAACATTACAACAAACTAGGGTTTTTCTTCTTCTTCTTCAACATTACAACAAGTCAACAATAGCTTTCAAGTTTCAACAGGTATGTTTTTATTTTCATTCATTCTTCTTCTTCTTCTAATCTTTTTCTTTTTCTTTTTCTTTCTAAACGTCCAAAAAGCGCCGAAATGCTGGCGAATTTTTGCAGAAAATTTCTGCCCTGTTTCTGCCCAGAATCTGCCCAGATTTCTGCCAAATTATATATTTTTTATTCTTAGTTCTTATTGCCTTTCTTATGTGTTATGTAGTTGATATTTTAATGGCGCCAAAAGAAGATAGGAAAGACCCAGCTTGGGCTTACTCGGCAAGAGCTAGCGAGACCAACAAGATGGCCATTAGATGTCTTTTTTGTGATAAGATTACAAATGGAGGAATCTATCGTCAAAAAGCGCATCTAATCGGTGGTGATCCAAATGTCGCATCTTGTCCTAAAGTTCCGGGTCATGTGAAGGAAGAATTGAAAGCATACCTTCAAAAAAAGAAAGAGTTAAAGACTCAAATGATTCATGAACAAGAACTTTATAATCTTGATGACGATGATGATGAAACAGAAGAAGGTGACGATGCTTCGTCGCTTCCACCAAAATCACAAAAACGGGGAAGGATGCTTCCACCAATGTCTTCTAGTTGTGGATCTACTGGCAAGACCAAAGGTCCTATGGATTGTTACTTCCCGCAAAAATCTGGAGATAAGGGAGGAAAAAGTGGTAATCCTCAAGTTGATGCAAAAGCGATTTTGAGGGACCGTGCAGTAACCTTTTTTGCCCGATGGATGTATGATGCAGGTCTTCCTTTTAATTGTGTTAATTATACTGACACTTTTGCTGCATTTATTGAGGCCGTAGGCCAACATGGACCAGGAATGAAGCCTCCAACTTAGTATGAGCCATATCTACAAAAAGAGGTGGCAGAGGTGAACAAAATCTTTGAGGAGCACAAAGTAGAATGGGAAAATCGTTGAGGAGCACAAAGTAGAATGGGACAAGTTTGGTTGTTCTATTATGATGGATAAGTGGACAGCGAGAAATTTTAAAAATGATCATCAATATCTTGGTGAATTCTCCTAAGGGAAGCCTGTTTCTTGAGTCCGTTGATGCAAGCGACTCTTCGACTGATTCAACCAAAATGTACTCCTTGTTCAAGAGTAATAGACTCTATTGGAGCAGAAAATGTTGTTCAAGTTGTCACGGACAACGCCAGTGAAAATGTTAAAGCTGGTGAGTTGATGTCTGCTGCGTACCCGCATATCTATTGGACTCCGAGTGCAGCACATTCTGTTAATTTGATCTTTGGTGATATTTTCAGGGAAAGACCCTTCAGCACTGTCTTTAATCAGGCAGTTAGAGTGCATTCCTATATTGTTCAAAGGCCTTTATTATTGAACAATGATGAAGAGATTCACTAAACAAAGAAGCTTGGTGAAACCTGCAATTGCTACTGCTTTCTTGACTTTGGCTAGGATGTATGAGCAAAAAGGCAATTTGAAGAAGTTGTTTGGTTCAGATGAGTACACTAGCAGTGCCTATGGAAGGGAAGCTCGAGGGAGAGAATCTGCACATATTATACTTTCTACTTCATTCTGGAACAATGTGGTTCATGCATTGAAGATTGGTGGTCCTTTAGTTAAAGTGCCACCAATGGGCTACTTGTACGAAGCAATTGATTGGGCAAAGGAGGCTATTCAAGACTCTTCTAGTGATCAAAGAAAATACAAAAGAGTCTTTGAGATCATAGATAAAAGGTGGGATAGTAAGCTTCATAGCCCTTTGCATGCAGCTGGACTTGTTTTGAACCCGGAACTGTTTTATGCCAATGAAGAGAGGATTCTAGGAGATGAACCTTTGTGGAGTGGATACTATGAATGCATTGAGAAGTTGATACCTGAAGAATCCGTGCAAGATAAAATCACAGAGCAATTTAGTATTTATAGGAATGCTGAACAACTTTTTGGAAAAAACATGGCCATTAGACAAAGAACGACAAAGTCACCAGGTGAGCGAGTGCTTATATGTTGTTTTATAGTTAATAAGTTATTTCTTTATTAATATTATGTTTTGAAAATTTGTTCTACTTCTACAATTGAATGGTGGAAGCAATTTGCTTATTCCACTCCAGATTTACAAAAGTTTGCCATCAAGGTTCTAAGTCTAACATGTAGCTCATCCGGGTGTGAAAGGAATTGGAGCGTGTTTGAGCATGTAAGAACTAATAAGAAAGATTTAGTATATTGAGATAATTAAATTATATCTCAATTGTCTTAATCTTACTAATTACTTATTATTTGCAACCCTCAGGGGTTGGCCTGGTGGCAATTGACTTGAGCCTTGGGGTTTGCTCCCTTTCAAGGTCTCAAGTTCGAAACCCACTGGGTGCAAACAATTTCTGAGGGCCATCGGACTGGGTAAAACCTGAATTAACCGTGGTGCACTTGCGGGAAACTCCTTGCCGAGGTCCTGTGCACCCCCGGGATTAGTCGGGGCTCTAAGAGACTCGGACACCCGGTGCAAATCAAAAAAAAATTACTTATTATTTGCAGATTCATACCAAAAAGAGGAACAAACTAACCTTGAAGCGTCTCAATGATCTAGTCTTCATTAAGTACAATAGAACATTGAGGCGTCGTTACAACGCTCGCAATGTAATTGATCCAATTAGTTTGGACAACATCGATGATGCTAATGAATGGCTAACTGGAGTCCCGGAAGATCATGCAGATGGAGAAGTATTTGATGATACTTCTGGTATCACTTGGGGTGATGTTGCGGAGGCGCGTGGAATTGGGGAGAGGATTTATGGTTTGAGGTTGAGGGGGAGTACCTCAACTTCAAGTTCACAGAGGAAGGGAAAACAGGCAGCTACTTCGTCTGTAGTTGATGAAGAAGATGACGAGCAATATAATAATGATAGTGGAATACAAGAATTTGACAATCTTGTAGAAGAATAGGATGCTCATTTCGTGCTTTAATTGATGCTACTCTTGACAATCTTGTAGAAGAATATGATGCTTATTTTGTGCTTTAATTGATGCTACTCTTTAGTTTTTTAATTCAAGTATTGAACATTTGCTCACAATTACATGTGTTGTCTATGCCGTATTTTTTTTAAATTTTTCTAAAAAAAATTCCGCTTCACTTCAAAAAAGCGGGCGCTTCGCTTCTCGCTTTTCGTGAAATGGGGGTTGTCGCTTTTCCTCGCTTCACGCTATTTTTAACACTGGTTAGTAGAAAAAAAAAGGAAAGAATTTTAGGAAACCCAAAACCCACAAGAATAAGGAAAGAAGTTTCCTTAATCTTCAAGAATAAGGATCCCCTCTTCTTTATCCTTTCTTGGAAACCAAATAATACTTGAATTCTAAAAATAATAATGAGCAATAACACTTTTTTTTAGGATTGATTTTCGTTTTTTCTGGTTGCTCAAGAACCTCCAAGATTATCAAAGATTGAAATCTTGATTAGCCTATGCTCTGATACCGCTTGATAACAACGCGATAGGGGATTCAAGAATTACTAAAGAAAAACAAGAAATCAAGAAACGTGCGGAAGCTAAAAAAAATAGAGAAACAAAAAAAGGACGGAAAATTAAAGATAGATTGAATTCAAGAAAGAGTTCTTGAATTCAAGAAGTCTATTCTTGAAGTTGAATCCTAACAACAACAATTAGCTAACTAAGAACTAATCGCCTTTGGTAGAGAATTAAAAACAAGAGATAGATTGTGAAACCCGTTCCTTTAGAATAATAAGAACAACAATAAGCCTAAAGAAATGATCTAAGATTTCGAAAGAGTTTAATCTTACCACCTTAAGTTGAGTCTTGAAGGTTGAAGAATAAATCCAAGAGTAGCCACACATGAGTGCAAGAAAAATCTCATAATTTTTATTGATAATAGTCTGAATCTAAAAGCAAAGAAGATACCCCTTTATATAGGGAAGGGGTCACGAAAATTCTACTTAATAAAACAAGGAAATAAAGTCCTAAACTACTTTGGACAACAAGTTCAACTACCATAGGAAAAGGTAAAACTCTAGGAAACAAAAACCAAGTCAATCTTGAAAATTAATTCCAATAATCTTAGGAAAAGAAAAACAAAACCTTAACTACCTAGGAAAGCATCAAATATGTCCTAACAAACTAGGAAACAAGATAAGGAACTTTGACTCCTCCTATGTCTTGGCCGCCCCTCCTTGAGCTCCTTTGTGAGTTGATTTAGGCGCTTAATTTAGGCCCTCCTTGGCTGGTGCTTGGACCCCAATCTACCTTCTCTTGGACTTGGACTTGGATCATGAAATGAGTGTAGCACTTAGCTAAATCCTCTCCATAATTCTTGAGCTCTTCTTCCACCATTAGCGCCTTTTTGATCTCCCATTGAAGCCCAACAACCTTGTCTTGCTTCTCCTTAGCTTGAGACCTTGTGAATGGCTTTCTAGGTTGCTTCTAAAGCTTTATCCTTGTCCATGAAGCTATCAGTTGGGAGCTTTGAAAGAAAAGCTATAAACACCTCTTCTTTTTCCTGATTATCGAGAAAAGCCGAAGGGCCCGCGGCAAATGGTTCAAAACTCAGTGGATAATGGGCCTTCCCCTTTATCCATATCAAAATATCAAGCTTTTGTCTGCGGCAAGGTTCAAGCTGCCAAAACCGTTTTTTCCTTTTATTATAGTGGAGAAATAGGTGGTGTTCTGAAGGGGTTGCTTTTTCAAGATATAATCTAAGTTAACTTGCTGTGTACTTTGTAGCCTTGGTGGAAAGTAGAAAATGCAGAAACTATACGGTTTTCACAGGTTTTTTAAAGTCTGTGTTGCGACTTTGTGGAATATAATATAATGTCATCATTCGACGGTCTAAAAAGAGCAAGAATGAAATGTTCCATAAGGAGGCTTATTGTATTTCTAAGACAGATCTCATGTGCTTTTCCATTCAGCTATTTATTACATTCACACATTTTATTGAGTTTTCTTTTCTCCATCCCAGCAATAAAAAGCCTCGGGAGGAATCTGCCAAGCCTCATGATGGACAAGCAAAACCTCAGGATGGACCTACAACACAAGGTAGATAAATCTGGTAGACTGGTAGATAATGCCTGTCTTCCTTTTTTCCCCCTTCTACTGTCAAGGCTGGGAAGCCTATGAGCGTTTTTGTTTTTGCCTCTGCATGTAGACATAACTTTTCATGTCCTTCAGCTTTTGGCATGCGTAAATTTGTGTCTTCAGGAGAGAACTACCTACTAACGTGCTCATGCATTGGTACAGATGTGGAAAAGCAGGTGTCACAGCTCACAATGAAGATCATAAATATTTGACGTTGAGTTTCTGCTGCTCCTGGAGTAGCTTCTTTTTGCACTATCTTTTTGACGTTTTGATTTATGATAATTGTCAATTGTATGGCAAATGCTAGCCTTAATTTGTTAGTATTGGAAACTTTGGTCATACACACAACACGCACACAAGACTCAGAAAGTAGCTTCTGTTCTTAATTCTGTTAATGTTTTTTAAGTTTATAAACATAGCGATATGGATAAAACATCAAAGGCGGTAGAAAGGGTTTGTAATAGGTAATAAGTTACCAAGAAAAAAAAATTCAAAACTCATCCAGGTCTATTGATGTGGTCGCTATTCGTAATTTCTTTTGGCTCTCGGTTTGGAGTCTTCTATTAGTGCTCTAACTCATAGGTTTGGTCATGAATTTCTTTTATAGGTTGTTAATTCTTCCATTAAAGACCAAATCCAAGTTAACTTGCTTCAAACCTTCCAAGTAGCTTCAGACAAGTGGTCTTAGGTTTGGTCATGGATTTTTGTATAAGTGGTTCACTTTCCATTAGCCCATTGGTATAAAATTTGCTCTCGCAATGGTGTCATAGTGCTCTAGCAATGGAGATTTTGATTTAGGTGCTTTTTCTGTACATGTGTAACCTTAACATGTTTACAATTGTATCGTAATTTGACAAAATAGGATAATATAACATAAGAATAATTGCACAATAAAATGATTAAAAGGAGTGATGAAGCTTTATCCTGGAAATTGAATGATTTTATGGTCAGGTTGGCGCCTGCAGGTTTTGTTTTAGGTTCTCCCTATAACCATATCGTAATTATATAAACTCTTAATTCTCTAAGATGGACCATTATTGTTATCAGCAGAAAACTCGAGTTCATCAACCTCGTTAAACTACATATTAATGAGGTTAAATTCTGTGGTGGTACTTGCAAAAACATAGTTTAACAGCAAATGGAGCTAGAATGGACCACGGGACCTAGTGTTAGCCCCTAACTTTGAGACGTGACGGATGTCGGGCAGTTTCAATGTTGAGACGTGACAGATGTCGGGTAGTTTCAATGCCAAGGGCTTGTACATTGCCCCATGACATGGGTTCATGTGGGTTTTGACAAGCAATGTGCGGAGCTGGGAGCGTGCCTAAGTGCATGGACTTGGGCAGGTCAGCTGGACAAGGTGCCTTGAGTGATGGCAAGGCAGCCTTGGTTGTGGGAGACGGCTATGGAAGATCAAGGTAGGCAGGTGCATGGCACTTGACAAAGGCATGCGTGCAGGTCAGTGGGACGGCAAGGCTGTGACAAGAGCATTGTCATGAGATATATGTGCGAGGCATGGTCCAACAAGACAAGGCAAGGCAGACAAGACAAAGTGTGGGAAAAGTTGTAAAACAAGTGTGCAAAACATGTGACTACAAAGAAGTGTGCTATGCATGTGTTGTGGAAGCTAGACCATGTACAGTGCACATGTGACAGTTAGTTTGAAGGCTGAATATCACGATCCAAACCGATGGGCCGCGACGGGCACCCGGTGCCTTTACTCAATCGAGTAGCAACGTAACGTATATTTCGTATCATACTATCATAGGTAATTGGGCAAACATGGTCACAACTCGTAATGCATAACTACAAGTGGGAAAGCACTATATCAATGAACCATCTTTTTTAAAACATGAATACATATGGGCCGTCAAGGCCTCTGACATACTGTGCAGAATGAACCTCTGTCTATAAAGCCTCTAAGAGTATTTGACATCAAATGGGACAGGCCGACTTACCCATAAGTTTGTAACAAAATCCTGACACGATGACTCATAGAATTGGCTGCACTCCGAATGAGGTGGAGTCTTACCGATCCTTCGCTGAAAGCTAACCTCGTCTACTATGAGGGCTCGTCAAACTTATTGTCTATACCTGCAGGCATGAATGCAGCGTCCCCAACAAAAGGACGTCAGTACGAATAATGTACCGAGTATGTAGGGCACATAAATAAGTATATAAAAGACATGAAAGAAACATGGAATAAATGACACAACCTGTAAGTCTGGATAACTCTGTAAATCATGAAATACTTATAGTATCATGCATATGCGTATGAATGTCATGTCGTGCATAGCATGTGTTCATAACATCATCAAGCCTCTGAGGGCATCCCATCTATCATCTCGGTCACTATGGGCAAAATCATCAACGTATACCAACTGATCTAGTGGTGGTGCGTATATAACACCGTAACCTTTCCCATATCCCATATACATATAGTATACATATATACGCGTATATAACACCATCTTGTCATGTGTCAATGTAAATGAATGCAATGCATGAGAAGTACGTCAATAAAATCTTTCGGAGTATCATAAGACCATTATGCCTTTGATTAATATCATGAAGTAAACTTTATCAACTTGCGTATTTTCTGAGATCCATGAACAGGCGATAGAATAATAAGACACACGGGAGTTCAAGAACATTGGCACTTCTAATACTTCTATGAGTAGAGTCATTTATTGAAGTTGTGCATTTGCTCGTTACGTTTGTGTCGTATAGATCATGCCAAAAGGAAAGAAAGGATATCCTTAACATACATGGACCGATTCTCTTGACAATTTCCTAACACACATATTATACAACGAAACATGTAACGGTGAATCGAAATAGGGGAGAATCCATGTGATATTCTTGAGAAGGATTGCACCGTATTCCCTTAAAATTACAAAATCTCACGTTGCTAAAATACTAAGAATTCTCGTTTGAATTCTTGAAGACACTTATGAGATCATGTTGAATTATGAAGATGCTATGAAAAATCTTTACATTACTCATGAATATGCATCTCTCTTTGAAGTTAGAGAGGTCTTATACATTACTGATGCTTTCGACAAGGTCGTTGGAGGTGTGCTGGTACAAGAAGGCCACCCAGTGGCGTTTGAAAGCAGAAAATTAAATGAAGCGGAGCAAAGATATTCGGCTCACGAAAAAAAATGGTTGCTATAATCCACTCCTTGCAGATTTGGCGGATGTACTTGCTGGGTACTAAATTTGTTGTGAGGACGGATAGTGTGGCTAATACATTTTTCAAGACACAAAAAAGCTAAGTCCGAAGGAGGCACGTTAGCAAGAATTCTTGGCAGAATATGATTTTATTTGGGAGCATAGGCCGAGAAGACACGACCAAGTTGCCGATGCATTGAGTCGAAAAGAGGTATTTGTTGCTGTTTATTCCATTACTCGACTTGAATCCAATTTTCTTGATAAAATCAAGTCGTGTGCTGCTAGTGATCCATTGTACATCAAAACAATAAATCATGTGAGGGAATGGACGGTAAGGCGGTATTGGATCGGGGACGATCTCCTCTATTTCAAAGGGGAGAGAATCGTAGTGCCACTTGGTGATGGGTTGCGTCACGAACTGTTGAGGGAGACGCATGATACTTTGGCAAAGGGTGCTTCATGGTGGCAATATGAACAACAAATATAGGACTACTTGAAGTCAGCCTCGAGGAGGACATCGAGTTCAACTAGTGGGTGTGGTTTGTCAGCCCCTAATGTTGAGACGTGACGGATGTCCGGCAGAACCAATGCTAATGGCTTGTACATTACCCCTTGACATAAATTCGTGTGGGTCTTGACAAGCAATGTGCGGGAGCTGGGAGTGTAGTGCATGGACTTGGGTAGGTCAGCTGGACAAGGTGCCTTGAGTGATGACAAGGCAACCTAGGTTGTGGGCGACAACTATGGCAGATGAAGGCAGGCACCTGCATGGCATCTTGACAAAGTCATGCGTACAGATAAGTGGAACAGCACGGCTGTGACAAGAGCATTGTCATGAGCTATATGTGCTAGGCATTATCCAAAAAGACAAGGCAAGGCAGACAAGACAAAGTGTGGGCAAAGCTATGAACAAGTGTGCAAAACATGTGACTATAAAGAAGTGTGTTTTGCTGTGGAAGTTAGACCATGTGCAGTGCACATATATCAGTTAGTTTGAATGCTGAATATGGGCTCATTTCGTGGGAAGTTCTTCAGATAGTGGCTAAGTGTTTTGTGCTTGTTTATAGGTTTGGTATGTGCCATGCACACCCGTGTAACTGTCCATATATAATTTGCTGCAGCCTATTCCCCAAAACAGGCA